TTAGGTAATTTGGAGGTGCCTCGGGGCAAAAGGCCAAGTTGGGCATTTCAAGTAGAATTGGATAGATATCCATTCTAAATAAACCATGGACCAATGAAATCCCCATTTTGGGCTCTTATGTATTGATCTTAATTAGTGTATTGTGAAGATATAGTAAGGGTATAATGTACCTTAGCTTCAAATCAATACCCAGGGTTAATCCTAAGGCCAAGTAACCCTATAAGAACACTTCTTGAGCTCTCCCATAATGATCTTACCTTCTAAATATTAGAGGTTAGGACCAATATGTGGAATCTCAAGTTGAGCAAAGTGAAGAGTTTGAATTTCTAATGGTGAGGATACCTTTTCTAGTTTTCTAAGACTAGTCAATAGGAAAGTCCTATGGCTAGACCTAGGCTACTAAAGAAGTCTCTAGACCTCAACCAAAAGTGAGGTCAATAGGTATGCTTATGAGCAAGGCAACTTCATCTGGATCAAATCTCAACTCGTTTCCACCCATATTAAAAACCCTTCGATCAATATCTTAATATTTCAATATGTGCATATTTAGGATATGATCTTGAAGGTATCTAGGAGGTCAAAAAATTGAACCATATTCATTGCTTTCAATTTATTCCATGTCTCCTCAGAAATGGTAGGTCGAACCTTATCAAGAACAACTCTAACTGCTGATGGACAACATTTATAATTTATGGTCTTTGGATTCAAATATCTACATGAATAGAAGCATAATGACACCATATTAACAAAATAGAGGCATAATGACACTATATTATCACTAGAAGCAATCATAACACCATATTAATGCCAAAATAACCCAATATCCCCTCAATAACCCAACAATATTGAGGGTTATCTTGAAGTTATTTTGGATTTATTTTGGAATATTATTTTGGTCATTGTATGATATTATAGGGATTTTATTGAGGGCTAAAAAATAACAAACAAAGTTACCTTGATACATTTTGTTGGCTTTAATCTGATTCATTCTCCTTTTTGCAGTCTTCCCTCACCATTTTCTTTTGCTCTTCAAACTCCGTCCTCATCGGCTTGTTTGTGTCTTCCATTTTAATCTCGCTTTAAAGGAAGCAATGTAAAGCCTTTTCAGAAACTTAAGGGTGAAGAGGAAAACCCTAGCTTTTGAGCGAATGCGAAACCCTAGCCCTTTCTTTCGAAAATGAATGTATGAGAATCAAAACAATGTTGTTTACGTTCTACGATAAGCTGGACAGGCGTTTCAAGCATTAGGGTTTAATTAAATAAAATCTCCCAATAACCCTGCAATAACCCCCTTAATAACCCCCAAGTAACCCCATGAGAACCACTCAAATAAGTTTCACAAAACACTTAAATAATCCCCTAAAAACCCCTAATAACTCTCACAGAACCACCTTAATAACTCCACCAATAACTCTTCAATAGCTCCTCAATAACCCCCAATAGCCCTTGCAGAAAAACCACAATAACCTCCAAATAACCTCTCAATAACCCCCAATAATCTTCACAGAACCTCCACTCTAACCCCCGCAATAACCCCCGTAATAACCCCGCAAAACTACTTCAATTTAGCCAAACTAACCTCAAATAATCCCAGAATAACCCCCCATTGAACCTCTTTAATAACCCCCACAATAATCTTCGAAATAACCCCCAAAATCCTCCAATAACTCCCCACACAACCGCTCCAACAACATTATAATTCGTAATAAACCCCCAAATAAGCCTGATTCGGGTTTAATTTTTAAGAAGTTGAATTAATTTTTTAATTATGAAACCGTAATAACATATGACAATGTTTGATATGACTCCTTCCGTAACCGCCCACTCCCGAGAGGAGGCTACTTAATATATGCATATTCTTTTTCGCGCCAATCTCAGAGATATACCCCCGCGAAATTGATTTGGGCGCCCTATTCTTCTCGCGATCTCCCAGCCGTTCCCCGTCGTCGTTTTGCGTCTCCTTTCCCGTCGTCGTTCTCGTTCTGCGTCGCCGTTCCCTTCGCCCCTCCTGTCAGTTGTCGTTGCTGTTCCAGTCGCCGTTCCCGTCACCGTTCCGGTCACCGTTCCCGTCGCCATTCCCTTCGTCATTTCCCTTCGCAGAAACAAAACCGGTAAGCCCTAATTCCCTTTTCTTGCCGATTCCTAGCCTTTCACCTCGCCATTCCCGTCACCGTTCCCGTCGCCATTCCCTTCATCGTTCCCCGTCGCAGAACCAAAACCGCTAAGCCCTTATTTCCTTTTCGTGCCGATTCCTAGCTTTTCACCTCGCGAAACAGAGCCTAATTTCCGGAGAGTTCAATCCAATCTCCTCAGCCATTCTCCTCGCAAAAACCGAGCGTGATTTCTGGAGAAGCCGTAATTGTTTTTGCGCCAAGTTCTTCTCCGCAATCCCGCATCCGACGCCATACCGAAGGCTCGTAGCCCGGGTAGTAGCACTACACAATAATTGGTAACATTTCTTTGTAATTTTTTTACTATCGTTGAGTAAAACATGTAATAAATATATTAGAAAAGAGTTACTCTATATAAACTTTTTTATTTTATCAAGAATTAGGAAACAGTCAACAAAAGAATAATGCAAGATTCTCATAAATTGATATTTATTTAATAACATATGTATATGTACTTTAATTTTAAATAGTAATCAGAGAGCATATGGAAATATATATAAATGTATTCTTTATTTATATCTTTTTATTTAGTGTCTTTTTGAAGAACGACTGTACGATAAATATTTATCTAGATGTCTAGAATTGTAACAATTATATATGTCTTTTAGTTAAACATTTAATACACACATTTTTTTGAGAAAATAAAATATGATTATAATATTAAAGTTTTTGTCATAATTTTGAAGAAAAAAGAAGCCAAATTTTGTGTTTTTATGTTAATCTTAAATATGTTTGATTTTAACTAGACTTGGGCCCGTTTGGGGCAACCTAAAATCACATGTTGCATTTTGAAAATGCCGTCCCACTGTTTGTTTTGCACGTTTCAACCGTATTTTGTAAAAGAAGGTTTCTAATTTTCGAATAACATCGCCCGCGGGATCATTCGCGTGGAAAAATTTTCTGTCCGGACTCCGGACGTAGCTCTACGTGCGGACTCCCAGTAATATATCATCATGTGTGTTTTATCGGGCCCACCTAAAAAATATTAAAATGGAATCGCAGACTCCACAATAACCCAGAAATAACTCCGGAATAATCTTCACTGTGGGTTTCTCTTCAATAACCCAAAAATAACACCGTAGAGGTTATTTATGGGTTATTTCTTGGTTTTTGAATTGGAGTATATGGTTTCTCTTCAATAACCCAGAAATAATCTCCGCGGTGTTATTTCGAGATCTTTAAAGTGGAACCGCGGATGTTATTTATAGGTTATTGAAGTGAAATATATGAGTTCTTCAATAACCCAAAAATAACTTCTACAGTTCTACTTTAATAATCCCGAAATAGCATCCGCAATGTAGCGCAGTTGGTGACATATTATTGGAGTCCGCATGTATAGCTATGTTAGGAGTCCGGACAGAAAATTTTTCCCATCCCAGCGGGCCACGTTTCCTTGGTTGCATTTAGTCACGAATTACTCTGCTGCTCTCGAATCGCGATTGAACACTCTGCCCTAACCCTTTCGGATTCGACATTCTTTCTTCCTTCATTCATGATCGAGCTCGCAGAGCCGCTCCCTGCTTCTTTGGCACTCCTCTTCTAGGTTAGGGCGCGCTCCTTCGACACTGCTTCTTCTGCTTCTTCTCTTCCAGGTAAGAGCTCGCAGAGCCTGCTCTAACGCTTCAATCTTTTCCTCTTCTGCAATGCTTCTTCGACACTGCTTCTTCGGCGCTGCTTCGACATTCCTTCTTCTGCCTACTTATTTTGGTGCTGGGGCGATGGAAGCGAAAGCGATCAGAATACAAGTCGTCGAGCCCGGGTAGGCACCAACGTTGGCGATCAAATCAGGTAGATATTTTGGATCTCACTTATTTTGATGGGAGATTTCTAGGACTTTTGTTAGGTTTTAGGTTGTGGTGCTGTTTGGGTTTGTTGTTTAATTTATCAATTTGGGTTGTTAGCATCTTACATGAAGTAATTTGTCGAGTTTGAATTTATCAGTAGGTTTGATTCTGTGGGATTTATGGTGTAATTAGGATCTTGTATGCTTTGCTTGCTTCCCAGATCTCATTGATTCAGTATTCAGGTAGATTAGACACGAGATTGTTGAATACTGTGATTAATTTTATTGTAAAGGGAGTTACGATTGCAATACAAATTGTTAGGTGTGTGTGACAATGATAGAATCAGAAGTTATGCTATTTAGATAGGAGAATTTATTCATTCATCTTTCAGATTAGGTTGATAAGTGATAGTAGAAATCTGTCAGATACATATATTTAAATCAGTTAACACACACATGATTTTTGCTACAATATGTTGTGATTTTACATAGAAAAAATTCTGATAATTTAATGCTGCCTATTTTGGTTTGAGGTTCTATGATCTATTTTTAAGACACTATTCTTGAAGCATGGTTGGAATAACCTTGAATCTTTGCTTCCATATGCGGTTATGCCAAAAAAATTATGTTCCTTTGAGTATGTGATTGTCGAGAACCTTGTGATGTTTGGGTATATCTTTTATTTAAGAGAAGAACTAAGGGATCAAATTGAGTGAATATGGATAGTGTGAAAGTGATAGTTTCTCTTTTTTATCAATTTAAGTTTTAAGATTTTATATCTTATGATTATATTGAATCTTCTATTTATTTAGTGGAAAATCTTCCTTTAGTATTGATTACTTCATTATTTTTCATACATTGATATGATTTATGGTGTTGCGGTGGATTCTTTTGCATTTATGGTGGTTTATTCTTAGTTTGGTTCAATATTTGATGCAAATATTTTTGAATTCTTTCATTTTTGATTTCCCTCTTACTAGTAAGTAGTTTAATGAGTAAGAGCAAGAGGTTGGATCATAGGTCATGTGGGACAGGGATGCTACCAATATTTTCTGTGATCTCTGTCTAAGGGAGGTTGAGCTGGGAAATAGACTGACCATATAATTTAACAATGAAGGTTGGCAAAATGTTATAGTCAAAATCAAGGAATTGATAGGAAGAGACTATGATATGATAAAATTTAAGAATAAGTGGGATAAATTAAAGGACTTAAAAATAGAAAAATGACTTAAGAGGGGATCTACAGGTTTGGGCTGGGATCCAGTGAAGCGAACAATAAATGCTCCTTAGAATTGGTAGGCTGAGAAACTAAAGGTAATGACATACCTTTGATCATTTTTCCTATTCATTTTTAGTTATATTAAACTGATTTAACTAATTCAAATTGCTATGACGTGCAGGTAGTGCCAGCAACTAAGAAATTCAAATTTAATGACATTGATCCGATATTGGAAGAGAAGCTGGATGACAAGTTCAGTGAGGTTGTTGCAACGAGAACTCATGTTTTTATTCCAACTGAGCATGACTCCATCGGCACACCAGATGTCATGAGAACCAAACATGTAAGTAGGGGTGTAAACAAGCCGAACAAGAACGAGCCCAGGCTCAGCTCGTGTTCGGTTTGTTTATATTTCGAGCTCAAAAAGTGTGTTCGTGTTCGGCTCATTTGCTTAGCGAGTCAAACACGAGCCGTTCACGAACAAAGAGTTGTTTTGACAACCCTAATCGCGTAACCATAAGATGTTAAGGATTGGGGCAAGATTTAAAACATCATTTAAATCTAATTTAATAATTTTTATTCTATTTTCTTGATTAATACTTTTAATTGATTATAAATCTTTATAGCCTTGTAGTTAATTAAACTTTTAAAAATACCGCTCATCACACACACACACACACACACACATATATATATATAACTGATTAGTAGTATTTCAAGCCACAATGAGTTGAACACGAATGAACAAATATTTATTCATTTGTTCCTGTTCCGCTCGTTAACTTAGCGAACGAGCCAAACACGAGCTTCTTAACGAGCCGAACACGAGCTGTTCGTGAACAACGAGCCGTTTTGACAGCCCTACATGTAAGTGACTCAAGAGAAGGACCCTATCAAATCTAAAGAGATGTGGAATCCACATGCGCTTCAAAACGATCCAGGGTGGAGAAAAGGAAGAAATGAGTAGCATTTGGCAAAGGCATAATAGAAAAACTACTTAAACTCCACACAGTTAAGCTTACTGTCTCACAGGATACACTCGATGAGGGGTGTCTTCGAATCCTAAATATATATGTTGAGATTAAGGCAGACAATAAACTATATATCAATTGTATTAAGTTACTACAAGATTCAGTTCGTAAAAAATTTTGTGTGAAGTTGGATGCAAAATATCAAGTCGATTTCTAACGCTCTTTCATGGAAAATTGAATGTTTTACGATTTTTTCAATGTATTTTCTCATTATTGTCTGTACCGTTGTATCATGGATTGTTATCTTGGTTTTTTAGCACATATTTTTTATCCACACTCTTTATGATTAGTATAGTTGTTTTCATATGTTCTGTGTTTATGTGTTTTATGGATGTGTTCAAAAGGCTAAAGGTTTTTACCATTTTCTTAAATAACTTTTGTAGGATTGATCCAGAACAATTGAACTATGTTAGAAAAATTGTTCTTATTTTTACTTTGTTATACGACTACTACCTTACATACATCGACCGAACCTCATGTATGACGTCGAGTTATGTTTGCGATAAATGAGTCAGTGAGTTGCTGCAGGGCCACTTGACACACTTTGCAAATATGTTTCGTATGACGAAAGAAATTTTTTTTGATCTGCTTTATGAACTACAACACCAAAATGGGTTGAATGGTTTGACAATAATGACAAACAGAGAGGTGTTAGCAATAACACTCTACATATTATCACAGAATGAGTCCATCAGGGGAGCCATGAAGCGATTTCAACATTCATCAGAGACTATCAACAAGTATTTCTCGATGGGTTTGAATTATCTAGTAAGTTTAGGCTCTAAGATAATTAAGTCCGATGATCCTTCATTCCAGTCCATTCTGACTCATATTGCGAATCACCCTCGCAACATGTCAATCTTCAAAGTATCTGTTAAATATGTCATTATTATATTAAAATGAGTTACTTATCAATTACTAATAGACTATATGTTATTAATTTCAAGATTGTATAAGAGCTATTGATGAAAATCACGTCGATGCACGGGTATCTGACACCGACAAGGTTGTCTGCATTGGATGCTGTGGCCCCCTCACACAAAATGTGATGGTCGTTTGTGATTTCAACATGTGTTTCACATTTATTATAGTCAATGGGAGAGCAGCACACACGATAGTCGTGTTTTTAAGTTTGAAATCAGATGTCAAAGACACTGCTTTTCGTACCCCCACTTGGTACGTAAATATAACCAATATGTTTGATATTTTTGAATTATTTCTA